CTTATTGCCTCCCTGAAGCACTTCCGGCTTACCACATACCCGCGAGAACCTCAAAAAAATTATATATATATAAATATATTGATATATTCAATATCAATATCAATACAATAATAAAAAGACCTTCACTACAGATCGCCCTTGACGTATAACAGATCATTTAACAAAGGTTTGGAGTTATGACAGCCTCAGAAAAGTGCTTTTATGGCCTCTCTAAAGCACTTCTGGCTGTCCTCCTCACATGACCGTATTTTGGATGCTTGGCAAACCACATTTACCATTGGTTGCAGCATCCCACAGTCATGTGATTTGAGATTTTTATCCAGTTTCTGGCACGTTTTGCCAGGTTCTTGCAAAAAAACACCCTTTGGGAGAATCGGCTGGAATTTACTATCCCATGCTATGCTTTAAAACCATAATCAATCAAAACAGTTATAAAATTGGGTCCAGTCCTGTGGGTACCTCACTGCTTAGGACCAATATTCTAATTCCAACTATATAGTCGTAAGTCAAGGACTACCTATACCATCCTCCCTGCCGCTGGCCACAGTGACCACAGAAGCTGGAATCGGAGAAAATCAATTTTTCATTTTTTCCAGTTTTGTTTCCAGATAGATGACATGAGGAGATCAACGGTGATTGTGTTTGTCCGTGAAACCAAAAGTGCTTGAGGCCTACCTAACAACCTCTTCAGTGCCCTCCTCCTCCTAATGAACTTTCCCCCAAAAAATGAATTATTTGGCAGATATTATTTTGGGAGGAACCTGCTTTCTTTGAAGTAACCATTGCCTCAGTGGCTTGGCGTTGGGATTCATCGTGAGAAGAACTGTACCACAAACAGTGCATATGTGCGTTCCTTTTGTAGGATACGATGGAGTTCATCAAAAACTTCCAGTCCGAAGCTCTGTCCAAGAGGGGAAACCTCCCCACTCAAGATGCCAATCTCCAAGAAAGAGTGGTTGCTCAGGTAAGGTGTCTACTTTGAGATCCACATGAGATTGGTTCATGGCAGGGGTCTTCAAACTTGACAGCTTCAAGACTTGTGGACTTCAACTCCCAGAATTCCTCCTCCAGTCATGTCAGCTGACGAATTCTGGGAGTTGAAGTCCACAAGCCTTAAACTTGCCAAGTTTGGAGTCCCTTGTTCTATTCTATTCTGCATTCTGTTCTATTCTAAACTCTATTCCTTATTCCAAATTCTATTCCTATTCTATATTCTATTCCAGGGGTCTTCAAACTTGACAGTTTCAAGACTTGTGGACTTCAACTCCCAGAATTCCTCCTCCAGTCATGTCAGCTTAGGAATTCTGGGAGTTGAAGTCCACAGGTCTTAAACTTGCCACGTTTGAAGACCTTTGGTTCATGGGGACAAATATTGGTTTTCAATCAAGCTACGGAAGCCATTTTTGAGCACCTCATGGGAAACCTAATTCTGCCTGAGGCCCAAAGCTACCTGAGTGATTTTTGGCTACTTCTGCTCTCTCAGCCTTAAGGAAGAAGGCTAGGATGAAACGCTTCCCAAAAACGTAGCAAAGAAAACCACAGTGGTTTTTCCAGGTAGCTATCTGAGTTGAGGAATGATCCCCTCCCAGGTACCTACAGGTAGTCCTCGACTTACAACCACAATTCAGCCCAAAAGCCTGTCACTAAGGGAGGCATTTGCTAAGTGAGCTTTGCCCCGTTTTACGATCTTTCTTGCCACCGTTGTTAAATGAATCGCTTCAGCTGTTGGGTCACACAGTTGTGAAGTGATTCTGGCTTCCCCAATGTCTTTGCTTGTCAGAAAGTCGCAAAAGGGGATCACATGACCCCAGGACACTAGTGGAACTAGTGGCTAAGCATTTAAATTTTGATCACACGACCATGGAGATGCTGCAAGGGTTGTGTGAAAAAGTCACACGGTTTTATTTCCCCCCCCCCCCAGTGCCGTTGTAACTTCGAAGGGTCACTAAACAAACTGTTGTATGTCGAGGGCTACTTGTACTCTTGCACACAAAGGAAAGATTCTGTAAAACAAAAAAGGAGTCAAGATACACTGTGGGTGAGCAGCTAAACATCAGTCATTGGTAGTTTATCAAAAGATACATAAAGAGTGTTTCAAGGCTGTGTTTCAGCTTTGGAAGCCATATTGAGTCCAGATGCTCCCACGCTGCCACATTTTGAGCCTGGGAAAGTGGGAGGGGGGAATTTCTTGGAGTGTATATAGTTAAACATAATAACATTTTTTTTTCTAATTCAAAGTCATGTTATTTTGCGCATAAGTGAGGGGAAGTCTCAAGTTGGGACAGATGGTGATTGGGGCATGTGATGTGGTGATGGGTGCAGGGGGTGGATTTGTAGTTTTTTACTTATTGCAAGGAAGCCCGGAACTTTCAGATTCGGGATTCCCCAGTTGTGCCAGTTTAGTATCCAAAAATAAAAAAGAACTTTTGAAAAGATGTCTGTCTCGGAGTTATTAGTTGGAGTGGAGGTTTGCTGGCACGCTGACACTGACTTCTTTGGGGCTACTGTTAAGTCAGCCTCAATTTTTTTCTGAAATTCACAGAAAATTCATCCCTCGAGATCCAATCTGTGTGGTCTCTGTGTTTCTTGTGAATATATCTTGTCAAAACAAGATTGTAGCATTTGGATTTTAATTTATGTGTCAACTCATAAAATATTTCTCTGGTCTTTTTAGAGTTGCCAACAGAAAGCGAGGGGGGGGAGCAGTGCAGCAGTTTGCAAAACCGAAAGTGCATTCCATAAATAGTTTTTCAAAGATAGTAACTAGGTGACCGAAGTTTCTGCCGTGCAAAATTCTAACTGGAGAGCATGATTGATGACTCTTGGCTATGAATGTGTCCCATTAGAGAATATGAATTATGATACACCCAGGGGTTGGGAGGAAAACCAGGGTCAAGGGGGACAATGAATGATGTACCTCAGAGTCGGCTATACCCAGGCAGGACCTTTTAACTCCCAATAAATCCTTTTTAAGTGTTGGAAGTTTGGCTTGAGACTCATGATTTAAATGGGGTTAAATGCCGGAATCTTCACAGCATGTTTGTTTGTTTGTTTTTAGCTGCAGGCAGCCCTGTATGATATTCATGACATTTTCTTCAAAATGGAGGTGCCGGAAAGGATGAGCATCTTACGTCAAGATCGAGAAATCCGCAAAGAGAAAATGCTTCGGCAGCTGGTGCGTTGCGGCTGCCTGTCACTTACCATGCTCGTTATATGCAGTCACATCTGTCTTTTGTTTTCTTTGTGACTTTGAAAAACCTTAACACTGGTTTTAAATACAGTTTGTCACCAAGATGCAGGTTTGCAACTTGTTCTAACTGTAGTTTAGGTGAGGTTATTTTTGTTAAACATAATATCCTACAAATTGCCTTGTAATAAAACTAACATCTCTTAATTGTTGAGTGTATAGGATAAAGCCAAGTCCCCAAGAGACAAAGTGGCCCTTTCTACAGCTACGCAGAAGTCGCTGGATAGGAAGAAGTATATAAAGTACGTGGCGGAAACGGTAACAAGCAGCACACAGAGATACTGTAGATACATTGGCAAAGGGCTTTATATTTTGAGGTTGGGCAATTGGTGTCAAAAAGTGGGGATCTTTGTTTTAAATCAGGAGTGTCCTGATTTAAACCTCAGGAATTTTAAATTTCTGTGGGCTTCCAACTCCCAGAATTCCCCAAGCCATGTCCGAAAATGCTCAGAATCTTGTCTTGTATGTACTTCCTGCTTGCACACGGTTTGGCAACTCCACTTTTTTTTACAGCTTTCTACATTACAAGGGGATAGAAATAAAGCAGCTAGAACAATATGCTTGCTTACAGCGTCTTACAAACAAGAAGACAGTCTTGTCTTCTCCCAAACCCTATTTTGACATGTTTCCTTTTCCCCCAGTAGGGCTGCTGAAGTGGGAATCCCAAATAAAAAAAAACTTGGGAAGCAAAGGATCTTCGAAAACAGGTTTGTAACATGTTAAATAGTATTGTGGTAACACCAACCCTCATCATCCAAATCCATTCTAAACAGCTGTCTGTGTAACCAACCATAATAATAATTGCTTGGAGCTGCACATAGACTACGCCAATACCTTATGACATCCTAGATTCTTGGAAAGAACTGCCCTCTGTAGCTTCAAAATATTGTGAACAGATCATAAAACTTGTATGCCCCCAGTTTTCAATAATCCCTTTGTCTTGTTTTTTCGTCTCTTGCTTTTTTCCCCATTCCATCCTGGATTTTCTAGTCGTTTTCATTGTTCTTTTTCTACTGCCGTTCTATCAGAAAGCAGCTTCTGTTATTACAGAATCAAAATGTGATTTCTTCTGCAGAGTCCTTCAGCCCAACCAAGGTCAAAACGCTCCTATCCAAAGGCTGCTGTCCAGACAAGGGTAAGACCGAACCTCTTGTACAGGGGAGTTTGGGGAAATAACCTTTGACCTTGGATGCAGGTGACTTATTACCTCCTTTTATGTTCAATCAGAACCTCTAAGGCCTCAGTGAAAGGGGCCGAGCAAAATAGAAAGAAACCCTCAGACCACAGAGTGCCTAGCAAGGGCTTTTCAGGTGTGTACACAAAATTGGGTGCTGGGATCTCTCGCGTAAGAAGGATGTTCTTCTGTAGAAGAAGCTTAAAGCAGCAGATATTTTCTTTCCTCTCGGTGCAAACCGGCTCTGCTCTAACTGCGCTATACTAACCCTCACTGGAATTAACACAACACAGGTTGCAAAAGTTGCAACCAGTGAATTGCATGAAGAGACGACTCAGTTTCACTCCACCATTACTAATCTGAGCAACGCTTCTGAAACTGAGCCAATGGCATATTATTATTATTATTATTATTTTATTTTTAGCTGCGGTTTCATTTTGTGGATAACACCCGATGCCTGAATGTTGGGGGGTTTTTTGTGTGTGTTTTAACTAAAACTTCCTGGCTGGAACACTTAAACCTGTTTCTCACATGATTGTGCATGTTCGTGCCACATACATACATCATATGTATGTAATATGATGAGGGGAAATGGGCAGCCTTAGAAGATCTTGGATCGTGCTGTGCATGTGGACTTTTTGATGAGATACAAAGGGTTTCAGAAAGCTAACATTAATTTGGACAAAATGCAAAGGTTTTACAGGTAACCCTCGACTTATAACCATTTGTTTAGTGGCCATTTGAAGTTACAAAGGCACTGAAAAAAGTGACTTGTGACCGTTTTTCACACCCCAGGGTCGCATGATCAAAGTCAATGGGGGAAGCCAGATGAACTTAACAACTGTAGGGATTCGCTTAAGAACTGCGGCAAGAAAGTTCGTAGAATGGGGCAAAACTCAATGAACAGCGGTTGCTTAAAAAATTTGGGCTCGATTGTGGTTGTAATTCGAGGACTACCTGTATCTATTTCGTAAAATAGCTTTGTTTGCTTATTCTTCTTAGCCTGGTATTGGAAAAAAATGATAAGATATATGAGTTGGCCTCCTTAGACGATCCCTTCAACCTGCCCGTAATCCTCAGAAGAACTTGTAGATCTGGGAAATTCTTTTAGACCATCACGTTTATCATCTCTATATGCATTTCCCCAAGGAAGCAAATTTCATAATTAGAACCAAACTTTCTTCTTGAAAAGGTCCCCTCCCCATTGGATACTCTACGTCAGAGGTCTCCAACCGTGGCAACTTTAAGACTTGTGGACTTCAGCTCCCAGAATTCTGGGAGTTGAAGTCCACAAGTCTTAAAGTTGCCAAGGTTGAAGACCTCTGCTCTACGTGATCTCCAGGAGTAAAATCACCTTGAAAACATTCTATGAAACATCATAGAGGTTGAGGCACTTATAAGAGAGAGCCAGCCGGTTCTGGGGCCCAAAATTACAAACTGCACAGTTCAGCATCTGTAGAATGGAGGAAGTTCCAGGGATATCTTGTCTGTCTGCCCAGCAAAGTCTGTCTCTTCCTGTTCCTTCTGCATGATGAGGATTCCAGGTAATTTCTGTGAATCCCAGCATTACTCACAGCAGCTCTGAAGATGCTCATCATGCCTGACTTTGCCCATTGTGTTAAGCCAAAAGGATGGTTGGTTTTGGCAGAGAGTGAACTCGCCCAAAATGGGTTGAAAAGCATGTGTGTGTGTGTGTTGTGTGTGTTGGATGAACTTGTCTAATTCTGGTTTATTTAATAAGCTATGACTTACTACAGTCTATAAATAAAATCAGTATGAATCCAAGCTGTTTAAAAACCAACCAACCTTGTAGTGATTTTTCCCATCTACCTTTTCTACAGCTTTCTTGTATCTCCAAATTGCTTATCTAGAATGGTCACATTGGGTTTTTTTTTCCTCCCAACATGAAGTGTTCCGACAAAATAAAATCTGTCAGGTATATATATCTGTTGTATAATTCCATGGGCTACAGAGAGAATTTTAACGTAGGCCTGCTAAGTTTCTTAGAAGTTTAAGAATTTAACCCCTCCCCCTCCCCAAACCTGCTTAAAGCTGCTTCTCATCACTATCATGGACAACCCTAATTTATTTGCTTCTATACACAGTTCTACATTTTATGGTCTTCCTCTTCTAAGCTGCCCTTCAGTACAAAAGTTCCATTTGCGCCTGCTTTAAAACTGCTTGCTTGGGACAAATGTTTGGCATTTTAAGCTAGTCACCTTTTAACAAACAAGACTTGGGTTATTTCTGATTTTTGCTTTCAGGAGTATCTGCCGGAAGAATCCCAAGAAAGAAGCCAAATGTTGCGACAACCTAAGAAGACAGCATTCCCTTGGCTAGAAAGTGGCTTAGCATTGTCCTTCAACGTTCTCCTTCAAAGAATGTGGGGCGTGGTCCTGTTAAAAGAGTCTCTGGAATGGAGATATGAAGGCGAAGGAAATATGAATGTGAACATGAAGACGAGCCTTCCATTTGAGTTCTGGGTTTTTGCGCTTTGCTTACTCCCTCAAGTAGATATTTTTCAAGGGGATTCTTCCAGCAATCCTTTTAGCCTGGGCTACATTTTTTTCAATTGTGCAATAAATAACCCGGAAGTGTGTTGGCTTTAGATGTCCCTGCATTCTTGTTTCTCTCTGACATGCTTTGGGATAGTTCAAAAGCATTTCTGAAAAGGAAATTTTTGGTCTCAGCTCTCTGGATCGTTTTCAAAGATGGCTGCACTTTTGTGTTACACAAAACGTCTCTTGGCCACTTCGGTCCTCTATAATCAGGAGGGTCACGATGTTGAACATATGTTTCTTTAGGCTTTCAGCACATAATCAGAGGGTATAAATATTGTATTCACCCACTTCCTTTTTTCTGGCTATAGTCTTGTTTCTGAGCATGCTGTGAGATCTAGTTTATAAAATGCTATCAGACTTGATTTTTGTAGTAAGCAAACTAGAAATCTCTTTAACAAATGCTAACAACTATCAGGTGGGCAGGGAAGGTTATTTTGTTCAACATTTGCCTCCTTTCTCTTTTTAAATCCAAATATTTGGTGGCATTCTTTATAAACAACATTAGAATAATAAATAACCAGTGCTAATAGTAAATTGGAACATTGTGCAACTTATATTAGTCGAAGGTTACTTACTTAACTTTGGACTAATGGTAAATTGGAATAACGTTGTCCATCTTTTCTCTTTCAATGTATAACATGAGATCAATCTTAATTTCACAGAAAAGCTGGATGAACAAAACCATTTCAAAATACAAATTGTATTTATGTAAATATTGTTTTGGAGGTGGGGGAAAGGCGGAGTGGATTTTAGTGTGGTTTTGAAAGATTGAAACAAGACCATGTTGGGGAATAAATTGGTGTGCTGCTTTTAGTGCTTTATCCCAGTATCATATTTAGTCACAGTTAATGTCTAATGTTAATTTGCTTGTTCAGTTGATATTAATATTTTGCCAATGGTAGAGGTTTCAGATGTGGCGTCACTTAAATCATTCCCACGAATTGAAAAATTAAGGTTCCACTAAAAAAAATGGGGTTAACTTATACATGGATACAGTTATTTATACTTATAAACATGTGTATCTTCTGATGCTTTTATTACATCATGCAATGTTTTAAAATCACATTTGGAACTGTGGCTGCCTTGATACCAGTGTAAAAAAAAAGTCAAAGATTATTGATAGAATGATAAACCAATCTTGCTGGGTTATCTTGGTTTATTGTAGACAAAAATCCCACACAAATGGATAAACAATAATATAAAATTTTAAGCAACACCCATCCCCAGTCCCTGGATTTCTCAGTCTGACTAAACCAGGATGTATAAGCAAACCCCAGCTTGGTTAAGAGCATTTGGTCAAATGAGCATCTGATTTGAACTTTGCACAAAATGCTTTGTATTTCTGGCTTTTTAAAAATCTGCTTCTTTGTTTGTTTTATCTGCTTATCTGAAGGGAGGTCTGAAATAGGAGTCAACTACAGAGATTGGCTCTGCTTGAATGGTAAAAATGGACAAGCCACAAATTGTGATGTAACCAATCATGGTTTTAAAGATTGCCCCTGGCAAGGGCTTGTCACGGAAATATTTCACTGCATTCTGGATTTAAATCTATTTTCAATGCTCTTGTCTTGCCTGAGGTTCAAAAAAACTGAAGATTCACAAGCTGACTTAAAAATTGCGATTGTTACCTTGCATGTTAGGCTACAGTTTACATGTGTCGATGCTAAAAGTAATCTAATTGTGTGCTGTGGAGTTAGACATAAGCTGCATGTAAATAGTGCAAGTTCAGTAATTTAAGTGGACCTTTTTAATATTTTAGCACAAAATGTTTTATTTATAAATTAACAACATATGGTCTTCTGTTTACTAGTGCCAGGATGCCTTTTGTAACTTAATGTTTCATATTTATTTATTCTCAATATTTGTTTGCCTTATTTTTGAGTGGAATGCCATGCTATTATAAGCCTTATTTTTGTATATTGGTTTTCACCTCTCCTTTTTAAAAATCTCTTTAAATATATTACACAATAAACTTTTTTTTAAAAAAAAAAATCTCAGTATTTGTGTGCATGAATATACACTTTCTTCCTCAACTGATTTCTGTGATGCTAAGGATCATTTTGGACGATGAAACCATGTAGACTTCACTTTTGAACTTTTAACACCTTCACATCTAGCTGCAAGACAGTGATCAGTAAAGGAACATTTTTTTAAAAAAATCAAACACGTTAAATGGATTGCTTTTGTGCTTATTCATTTTCTTTGGCTAGCAAAACACAGACATCTTTAGTTTCTGGAGTCAAACACTTTTAGGATTGCCCTACTAGTTCCATCAAGCAGCAAGGATCCCAGAGGGAAAAAAAGGACCCTGGAAGGGAAATAGGATCCTAAGAAGTCTTAGGAATCAATTCCAACATTGCACCCGGTCACGTCTGGTTGACTACATAAGCTGTGTTCCCCCCAAGCTTTGGGTTTGTTGGACAAGCCACCTTCGGCTAAATTTGCATTGCAATGTCATGATTTATTTTAGTAGGAAGCTTCTAAAAAGCAGCCTTTCTTAATTTTAGCAGCTTTTCAGCCGTGCGGACTCCCAAACTCCCAGAATTCCCTAGTCAAACTTCTCAGCCAGGGAATTCTGGGAGCTGTAAAGTCCACACAAGCTTGAAAGCTGACCAAGGTTGAGGAAAATGGCTTTCAAGATTTTGAGCCCCTGCGCGTAAGCCAACATAGCTTGGCCAAACCAACACAAGCCAAGATCAACACAAGCCTCGCCTAGGAAGCTCAAAACGCTTCCTACTAAAGTTCCAAGCGGAAGCTTTCGCCCCGCCCCTCGATAGCCCAAGGCAACCGGGCAAGCGCCCTTCTCCAACGTGGCTGCTCCGGCATCGCACTACGCTCGCGGGCGGGGAGTCACGTGAGGGAACCAAGATGGCTGCCTTTCCTTGGTGAGAATCGCGGCGGGGAGGGAGGGAAGAAAGGAAGAACCAGGAGGGATTTCCCCCCCACCTCAAATGAGGGAGCCTCGGTTTTCCCGCCCTTTTTTACCCCCCCCCCGAGGGCACTAGGCCGCGGGCTTGGCTGGGGAGGGGGCGCCGGGGCTTGAAAGGGCGGCTCCCTCCCTGGTCTTCCTTAGAGGCGTCGGGATGACAACTCCCATCATCCTGCAGAAGAATGGATTTTATTTTCCCGGGGGAGGGGGGGAAATTGTGGGGGCTTGGCATGTCTTGGCATAAAAAGCAGCCTTAAGACCCTCAAGAGAGGCTTGGGCAGGTAGAAATCCTCCAGTGAATCTTTTTCCTTGTGGGGAGGGAAATGAAGGACCTACCTGGGGAAAAAAGGGACAGGTCTTTAAAAGAGGTTTTTTTTTTTAAAAAAAAAAAACATTTAAAAAGATTGATCTTGATGCTGCTATCTTTGCTTGACCAAGGGAAATTCCAGACCGAGGAAACGTTATAGAAGCCCTACTTGAATAAAAATAAAGTATAACTATAGCTGAATGTATTTTTAAAAGATTATTTGATTTTCCTATTGTCATGCAAATGTGAAAAGATTGTGCGGCAAGTGGGAATATGGGAATAATTAAATCACCAAAATAAATTACCTTGAAAGGGGAAAGTGTGATGAAAAGTTACATATTTGAAAAAATTCTAGACTTTTACATGTGCTGTCACATCCCTTAATTATGTCACAAAAGTAGGCTTCCGGAAGAAATATGTGAGTGCGGAAATATTGATGAAATGTCTTCTATTCCAGCAGTGATCAGGTCTTTACTTCCTAATTCAATTTATTACAGAGAAGTGTATATTTTTCAAATAGTGTGACAGGCTTCACAATGACAAACTGTCTTATAGCTGACCACATTGGTAGAATCCAGCCACTATGGTTTCTTCAATATACCAACATTAATCAAACATGTAGCTTACAGCAATGTGTCAGTCCAAAAGTTAGCTTTGGGGAGGAAATATTATTTTGCATTCATTTCTTTCGGATGCCAGTTGGTGTCACTGGTGATTCATCTAGGACATAAATCTTCCTTCTCTTTTGTTAGTAGATGTTTACAAGTTGCAAAATATAGATGTTGAACTAATGACAATTATTTTTTCTTGCAACTTGCCTTGAATTTATGCTTATACATAAAATTTATTTTCATTGAATTATGGTAGATCTCAGGTTTGGTCCTTCAGATGGTATTAGATTGGTCTTCCCATCATGGTTGTCCCATGCTGGTTACAGTGATTAGAATTTGGTGAGAGGGACAGCAAATAAATTTAATAAATAAATCTCTAAAAAACCACTTGTTGCCAGTCTGTGCATATGTATATGTATACTCACACACACACACACACACACACACTTTTGTCTTTCAGGCATGCAAGAACACGAAACTATGGGCGTGAATTGGAATCATACAGACTGGAAGCTGTGTCTGTGGAATTTGGTGATTTCCATCCACTCAAACCCATTATGGTAGGTTTACCTAGTAATCTGCAGAAAACGTGACATTGTCATGTTGTTCTGCAAACCAACAGTGTCATTATCAAGTTTGATTAATAAAAGAGCAAGACCTTTTGGTTTGTCATATCTCCATAAAAAGGTCTGTCTGATACCATCAGCATGACTTCAAATTAGGAAAATTAAATTCTGCACTATTTGCAGTAAACACTGGTGGTAAAATGTTTAGTTTTATAATAGCAGCATGTGGATTCTACTTTAATGCCTGATCTACTCTTTAAGTTTGTTCAGAATTAGGCTTTGTCTAGCATTGAATGTTCTCCGTTGTCTAAAGTATCTATCCGTAGCTCAGTGATGGCTCACAGAATTGAACATCTCAACCAAAAATAGACAAGAACTGGTCTCTTACACAGGTTTGCCTGGTCTTGGAATAAGTGCCATTTTCGTTGGAATAAGGGTGAAAAGGATTCAGCTGCAAACTTCTTACGTATGCTATTTTATTACTCAGGTTACTGAATCGAAGACAAAAAAATTGGGTCGTAAAGGGAGCACATCCTCTACATCATCTTCATCATCTAGTTCAATGCTGGACCCACTCAGCAGCATTCTGGATGGCACAGATCCTTTATCCTTGTTTGCAGCTACTGCCGATCCATTGTTGAGCATGACAACGGTAATGTCATTTCAGACCAGTTAGGTAAGGGGCTGGTGTTACTGCTGCCCCTGCATTCTGCAGATGTGCGTGTGTCCAAAATTTATGTTTAAGTTCCATATAGTGAAGACTACAGTGGATAGGGCCACCTCACACTTATGGGCTCTTCCCCAATGTTGTAGTCACTCAATTTTGGAGGGAGGGACAGAAGGGAGAAGTTATTTTGTTAATCATTTTTAAGCTTGTTCAGGGTCTGTTTTGGGAGTCTCCTGACTCAAAGTGGAAATACCTCATTTCCAGTTCTGGTATTGATGCTCTCAAAGCAGTTTAACGAGTCTTGCAGGGAGCTCTCCAAGGTGCTGAAGGCAAAGACTAGCCTTCATTTGTGCTTTTCTCCATAGGTAACCAATCTCTGTGCTTTTACCGGAGAGCTGATGGATTTGACTGCATTTAATTATGGGTTTTTAAATACACATTTCTGACAGTTCCATGCTTGTCGGTGGCTTTTATTCATTCTGGTAGTGGTGGTGTAACATTTAATTTTATGCTCAATTTAGAAAACAAAAGGCAGGCGTTTTAACGTAAAAGCAGCATTGTTTATTTATGTAAAAATGTTGTGCTGTTTTTTGTACTCCTTTGTAGGATAATGCCAGGAAGAAGCGTGATAAAGATGAGAGTTTGTCTGTGGGAAGTGACTTTGAACCTTGGTCCAGCAAACGGGGGGAAATCCTCGCACGCTACACAACAAATGAGAAACTGTCCATAGTGAGTCCACTTTTAATCTTGTGTAAACAATACAAAGGTGTCGGAAATGCAAGGAAAAAAATATAAAGAGGGAAAGCTAGTTATTATTGTATTGGCATCCTTCAGTCTCTAGAGACTATGGTATCGTTCTACGAAACTGGTAACTGTCACTTCCCGTGTTGTTTCAACGCTGTATGCAAAGCTGGAGTGTCCTCTCCAGAGCACGAGGCCTGGGTAATTTAATATGGAGGATAAACTGTTACCCAAGCAGCAGATCCTCCCCTTTCCACGTCACTGAAATAGTCTAATGGAACGGCAGAGCCGATACGAATAGTTCCAGTTGCATTGCAGGAGTTACCAGAACATGATTGTACACAGTCACGAACTGCTTCTGAGACTCTGGCTCCGGATTTTGCTTTGAGGTTGACCCCTGAAGCCTTTTCCAATAATAGATATAACCACAAGGCAGTGGAGGTTTGAAATCGGAGTTTCCCTTCTCCTAGAAGATGGTTCTACCATTTTATCTGCCATTGGGGCATAAAGCCCTCTACTGCCTTCAAAACTGTTGGCCATCTTCTCCTGTAACCCTGGAAAGGGGCCCTTACGAGGTGCTACCAGCCGAGCTAGCTGGATCAAGGTTTTTTAAGGAGGTATTACGGCACTCCTCCTCACTCCAGTTATTATTAAAAAAAACAAAAACATAACGTATGGAGTCATACTGAAAATGAGCATTGGGCCATGTTTTCTGCTACTTTCTGGAATCTTTTGAACTGCAAATACTTTAAACCATAATTGGCTGGTTTTACAAAATATAATGATTGGATTCCTAGAACATACCAAGCCAGCCACTTCGTAGCTTTGCGTAATAGGGGACAATTCACAATGTGAATTTTGATAGGGACTGTTGGCCTTTGATTATGTAACAGAACTGGACAGTTGGGAATCGCTAATTTAAACTGAACGTCTGTTTTCTTTGCAGAATTTATACATGGGATCTGAAAAAGGTAGGCATTCACTTCTAAATATTGAACTTATTTAAAGTTTTGCGTTTAAGTGTCAGCATTATTTTATTCTTTTTTCTATAAACCATGTTCCTTAATTGGAAAATTATTACAGACATGAAGGAACTTCCTCCTAAACTAACACCCTCTATTTTGATACATATGGAGTCTTCACACTTAAAAAAAATATCCAGAAGTTGGGCAGCTATGCATTTGTTTTCCAAACAAAGGATTCCAAGGGCTTTTATAAACCAGAAATTTGGCCCACAAAGTCTAAAATACTGCCAATTACAACAGTTTGAAATGTATAGCAAAAAATATCTACTCTAATTCTGCCTGTAATTGTTTTCTTTAAGTATTGTTGGAATATAATGTATTCTTTAATTCAGTCCAAAATTATTTTAGAACCTCTTCCTTGGAAATTAAGTTCCTGAGGATTGTACAGTTTAAAGTGTGTAAATTACTTGCAGGAAAAGCCTCAACTCCTGGATCCACCGTTTCAGAGAAAGTGCGAACCAGACTAGAAGAATTGGATGATCTCGAAGAGGTGATCAAAAATTCATGTTTAAAGCAAAGAAATTTATGTCCTTTCTTTCAGGATTCTGTAGGATTTTAACATAGTCTACATTCTGTTGTACCGCCTTGAGGAAACTGACATGAGAGCTTTTGATCCCATAATTTGTAATAGATTTTTTTTAAATGCAGGTAGTCCTTGACTTACGACCGCAACTGAGCCCAAAATCTCCATTGCTAAGCACGTTAAGTGAGTTTTGTCCATTTTTCGACCTTCCTTGCTACAGTTGAATCACTGAAGTTCTTAAGTTAATAACATAGTTGTTAAGTGAATTTGGTTTCCCCCTTGCTTTGCTTGTCAGAAGGTCGTAAAAGGAGATTATGTGACCTCGGGACATTGCAACTGTCATAAATAGGAGTCAGTTGCCAAGAGTCTGAATTTTGATCACATGACCATGGCGAGACTGCCATAGTCGTGTGAAAAAGATCACTTTGTTCAGTGCTGTTGTAACTTTGAATGGTCACAAAACAAATGATTGTAAGTTGAGGACTACCTGTATGTTCTCCTAAGGTAGATCATGAGACAGAAATGCTTGTTGGGGGACAAAGGATGCTGTCTGGAATTCTTTAGGAATGAATAGCAGTGATAGCTGGTTTGTACTATTCAGTATAGCAATTCTGCATTTTCTGGGCTGTTCTCTCAAAGCAAGAGGAGAAAGCTGTTTAAAAACAACAACAACTCACCATTTTGCACCCCATCTACTTCTTAGGGTTCCCAAAAAGAATTGCTAAACTTAACCCAGCAAGACTACACGAACCGGATCGAAGAACTCAACCAATCCTTGAAGGATGCGTGGGCCTCTGATCAGAAAGTCAAAGCCCTTAAGATTGTTATCCAGGTGAGCATAACACTGCCATAAGTGGCGTTGTACATTGATGAAGAAGGATGCTTTTAACGTTTTCAAAGGAGTTCATGGCTGCTTCTGGGTTTTCCTCAGGGGTGGGATTCTACCAGTTCGCACCTATTTGCTAGAACCGGTTGTTAACATTCTAAGCAGTTCGGACAACCGGATGTTAGAAGAAATTACTGGCCTAATCCTGTAAGGAAGGCAGGAAGGAAACATTCTGGTGTTGCTTACAGAAGCTGCCTCTCCATTAACCCTTATTACATTCTTGGCAGGACTAGACTTCCTGTCTCAGGAACGTCTCTGGAGTTTTTTTTCCCTCCTTTGCTGGTACTTTGCTTGTGTGGAGTGACCATTCAAAGTTACAATGGCACTGAAAAAAGTGACTGATGACCATTTTTCACACTTACGACTGTTGCAGCATCCCCACAGTCATAAGAAACCAGGCGAGGAGATGCGTGCCTCGATGTGAGTGATATTGAGTTGGCCACGCCCAGCCAATAACATGACCACCAAGCCACGCCCACCAACCAAACCATGCCCACAGAACCGGTTGTTTAAAAATTTGAATCCCACCCCTGGTTTTCCTCCTTTTCTTTTTGAGTGGACACCCTTGAGCAAGAAACTTGCGAGGGTGCCCAGCTCTGGTGCTTTTTGCATTTCTGTTTACAGGAAGGCCTCGAGTTACGAGTGTAACGGAGCTGCCCATTACGGTCGTAAGAGAGGAAATGGGTCAGTCACGTGACCAACCTGATTTTAACAGTCTTTTTGGCAACGATTGTTTTTTTTTTCTTAAACAAATTTTATTAGTTTTTAAAGACAAAGGCAACGATTGTTAAATGCCATAGTCGTTAAGTGGATCAAAATGCCTAGTTAGGTACTTTATTTAAAGTATTTATACCTAAAGGGTTCATGGCAAGTGAGAATCCCCGGGCTGACCAGAAGGAAAAAGGAAAAGAAGAAGAAAGGATTCGGCAGCAATTCTTAATACTTCCTGGTTACCGCATTGATTACTTAACCTCGGAATCGCTGTGTTACCAATGGCTAAATGGCCTAGTTATCCAGCCATAGGTTTAATCACTCCAGTAACTGCTCGTACATAATTTAATTTGGTTCACAATGTTATTATCACTTGTACTTTGGGTTTTTAAAATAATTCACTGTTCTAGTATTTTATATTTTGCTATATAGAGGGGCACAGTGGCTTAGTGGCTAAAGAACCTGAGCTTGTCAGCTGAAGAGCTGATAGCCTTGATTCAAGACTTGAGTGCATGCAATGGGGTAAGCTCCCATTCGTTGCCCTAGTAGTTCCTGCTCCCCTAGCAGTTTGAAGGCGTGCAGATGGGAATAGATTAATAGGTACCACTTCAGTGGGAAGGTAACGGGGGTTCCATGCGCCTTTGGCGTATAGCCATGCTTGGCCAAATGACCATGGAAATTGTCTTTGAACAACTCTGGCTCTCTCAGCCCAGAAACAGAAATGAACATCGTGCCGGACATGACTGACAAGGAAAGCCTTTACTTTTATATACATTTTATATGGGGGGTTCTTTTGGAGGATTTTTATGCACTCATGCTATATTTTGTTATGCCATAAGAAATACGCACACAAATCTCTGGAAAGAGATATTCAGGGAGGCCCAGATGTTCTGTTATTCTTGTTCTCAGAGCATTCAGCACGACTGGCCTGTTGGGAGAGGTCCAGCCCAACTAATAACAGCCCTAATGGGTAGAAATAACAACCTCTTCCTATCGGTTTATTTTCTTTCTCCCTGGTTAATTTTTGTCTAGCTAAGTTGGTTGGGGAGGCTTCGAAAAGAGATTTCCCAGGGGTTCGCCGTCAAAAGTATTCGGTTGTGGAAGTCTGAGGAGTCTGGCATCTCTGTTCTACCTTTCCTTCTCCCTGCTTTTATTGGGAATGTTTATCTTTTGCTGCTGGAATGACATCTGGAATATATTACAAATAATACAGTGGGGCTTAGCAACGGTTCCATTCCATCGCTGCTGGGTTAAGAAGGAATTTAGCGCTAAAGAAATCCACAAGGCAGATTGAGGGTCAGCCAGGAAATAAATAAGAGAAAGCCGTGGAGTTGGAGTGGAAATCTTTGTGGATAAACTCTGCCCTTCAAATGACAGGCTATCTTCCAGCTTCCTTTTAATCAACAAAATGACACTCTGTAATTACACAACAGGTTAATTTTTGTTTCCCTTTTTCTCTCCACCCAGTGCTCTAAACTTCTTTCAGATACAACCGTGATTCAGTTTTATCCCAGTAAATTTGTCTTAATAACAGACATTCTTGATACCTTTGGTGAGTATAGGCCCTTCTGTATTTTTTGTTTGTTTGTTTAAATAAAAGAAAAATATGAATGGTTTTCTGAAAATTAGGTGAGCAAGAAATTCTGGAAGAGGAGATTGAAGAAGGAGAACCTTCTTAGTCTATAACAGCAAAAAACAACAACAACCAAAACTCCAGACTGATCCAGTAGCACCTTTTCCAACTAATTGATGTTATTAAAAGGCAACGGCTGTTGTGAATTGCAGCTTACAAAACCTTATGCCCTTAATAAAGTTCTGAAGAGAAGACAGACGCTTCTCTCCAACAGAAGCAAGAGAACACTTGGGGTGAAATCTACCCCATCCTTTTCCTCTACCAATCTTTATTTTTTTGCAGTGGCTAGAACCTCTTAAGACTGAATGGTAGACATTTCTGGATTTTCCCAAAATGGCTTCAAGTTGAAGAATAACTATTTTCATATCTTGCAGTAAGCCAACTTTGACAGGTGCCTGCCAACTGCCATTGCAAACTGGCCTTCCAAGAAAGTAGAAATATTATTGGCTTCCTCCTTCTAAGTAGGTTGGCTGCAGTGGCTGAGAAATTTTTACTGGATTATTTATACTTTTTGAAAGTTATCACCCACATGGACCTCTTATAAGAGCGATTCCAACCATAGCTGTTTTAAGATGTGTGGACTACAACTCCCAGAATTCTCCAGCTAGGCTGGCTGGCTGGGATATTCTGGTTGAAGTCCAGACACCTTAAAATGACCCAGATTGGGAAACACAGCCTTATAGACATTCTGTGTAAGTTACTGTGTAGAATAAATATTGAATAAGAATATGAATAAGAATAAACGCCACCAACTTGTTTTAAAAGCAGTTTTTGGATAATAACACATTGGGGAGTTTTTGAGCGTCCATCTCTTTCATTCTTCAATTTAATAAAACAGGTTTATTTCCTCTTTTAAATCTGGATTTGAGCAAGATATTGTGTGATGTGCCCGTTATCCCACTTGAGGGCAGCATGATGTAATGCCAAAAATGTATTTAGCAAACCAAAAAAGCGCAACATGATTAGAATGAGAGGAGACAAGAGAAAAAGAAGCCTTTATTTAGATTTGAAACCCGTTCTCCTCTGACAGCAGGAGATGGAAGTGGCGTGAGTCTGCAAACAAAAGATTTTAGAAAGGATATCCAGCTAATACCATTTATAGGAAAGCAGTTTTTCAGTGCATTTCTTAAAATACTTGGATCGTTTAACATAATCGCCTCCGTTTTCTCCTGTGGGTTCTGAAGGAATAGATAGCATGAGGGTTAATTCATTTCAAAACAACTTTAGAGTAGAGATTTTACCAATAGAGGAAAAATTTGTGTAGCTCAGGGTTGAACTGTGGGGTCATTAGTGCTCTCTGAGCTTGGTTGCTTTCTTGCAGACGTTTCATGACCCAACTAGGTAACATCATCAGTGCTAGCATGTCTAAACTAGCTGTCCTTTAATTTTATAATTTTAATCCATATACTTGATAACCAATCATTCTTTTCCAGAACTTGCATCTAGAATTGCTGTGCAAAAGGTATTTACCATCTTACTGTTATCATTGCAGGAAAATTGGTGTTTGAACGGATCTTTTCTATGTGTGCTGATCATTGCACCCCATTGCCAGGTAGGTTGTTCCATAGCAAATGAGCTTGCAAACCCTCATTAGCATCTTTGACTCCAGTGGATTCAGTTGGAGACAAACTGTTCAGAATTAGCAGTAGAAAAAAAAGAAGATGCAACTGGGAAATATTTTTGAAAGTGTTCCAAAATGTCTCAGAAGTTTTAGCTTCCTAAAAGTTCATTCTAAGTCTTAAGGATGTTTCCAACAGTCTTGTGGCTGATATGGATCTCCCAATTGTAGTTCTATTGGATTATAAGAGAAAAAGGCTCAGCAAAATTTTGGGGAAGATCGCCTAGGGATTGTTGACCTCCGGTTGCCTTATTGTGGCTTAGTAAGAACAAACACCGAATAAGGAATTATTCCAAATTCCTTATTCGTTGTTTGTTCTCACTAACTAAAACACAATAAGGCAATCAGACGCAACAGTCCATATATGTTCTTCCCCAAAGGAATTGGAATAAGGAATTTGGGATAATTCCATTAAACATATTGTATTTTCGAGCACAACTCTCTGTGTAGAGAATCCAAACTCCCAAGCAGGATTGGAGAAGTTCCAGTTCCCTCCTGCCTTGGTACAACTCAAGGCATAAAACTACTGCCCCTTGTTTCCTCGACAGCAACTGTGAGTTGAGTTTGATTGGGTTGGGTTGAGTTTGGTTGGGTTGAGTTGTGTTGAGTTGAGTTGGGTTGGGTTGGGCTGGGCTGGGCTGAATTGAGTTGAGTTGAGAGAGACTGGCCCCAAGTCCCCCGTTGGCTTCCATACCTAATGGAGACTAGGACTTGCAGTCTCCCAGTTTCTAGTCTAGCACCTTAACCACTACAGCAAACTCTCTCTCTCTAGAAGCGCAGGATAGTTTGAGATCCCCTTGTGATCTTTTGCTTCTGCTTATTGCTCCTGTTTGGGTAGTTTGAGGATACTTTGTTGACTTTGCCCGAAGCTCATTTAGGGTCAGCCAACGGTCCCCCCCTCTTGCAATCTTGCTGGAATGAGAAATCCCAGGTATGGCAAACACAGACAATTTCCTGGGCCAAGCTGTGCCTTGAGTGGTTGTCCGTGAGACGAGAACACGCTCATGAATGCCCTGCGCTCATTCTTTCCGTTCGGATAAAAGAGAACAAGATTCTGACTGAGCCCATACCATAGAGAAACCGGCCTGCAGCAGAAATAATTGGAAAGGACTCCGCTGTGCCCTTGATAACAAAAACCAAAGTTTTACGCCTAAAAGCCAACGCTCAGCGGAGCCGACGTCGCTTCTTAGCGGAGCGTTTAAAATTCCCCCGCTTTTTTTTTTTTTTTTTAAATCATTGAAATGTTTATGCATTCTGAAATCGGTTCAGCTTCGCAGAAGGGTTAGAATTTTGTTTGCCTTCCTGATCTTTCTCGTTGCGTCCTCCGTCGAGTGGCTCCGGCTAAAGGGTGTTTGTCCTTAACCAACTCGGCAATTAATAACATGCTTGAATGGCAGAATCTGGATCCCCATAGCGCTCCCATTATGTAAGAGTCCTCAGCTGCAGGGAGGGAAGGGGAGGGATTTTTGGGGGGGGAGGGCGAAAAAGGGGAGAAGATGGCAGTCTCTCCCAAAATTTCTGCCTGGGCTCTGTGTTCTTGAAGAAGACGGCCGTGGAATAACAAACGGTGGCGTCTTGCAATGGAGTGAAAGCATCTGCTGCTGTTCCTCTTGTTCTGTGCCAAAGAGGTGCTTGGAATACAGAGGGGATAAAAATCACCCTAGGCCGGGCCATCAATCCATTTGTTCCACTTTTGCCTTACAATAAACAAAGCTGGCCTTTTCCCTCCTACCAACCAAGGAAACACATCTTGGTCCAGAGGACTTGACGGAATGAAATTGGGTCAGTCCAGAACCAGCTCAGATGTCTTGAAGCTGCCCAGTTAATACGACTTTCCCCTTAAAAAGGCCAATCTTGTGGATCAGGGCATCAGGACATTGAGGTAGAGCAGATCAGGAGGATCAATCCATGTCTGTCTGTGGAGTTTCTCTGTCCTTCAGGTCATGGTTGTCCCAAAGGTGCTTTTTTTTTTTTTCTCAAGAGGCAACTGGACTTTCTGTTTTTTCTCGGAATACGTTTCGCTTCTCATCCAAGAGGCTTCTTCAACTCTGATGAGATGGTGGGGAATGGAAAAGTTTACGTTCCTTGCAAATCCGTTCATTCCCCACCATCCAGTCAGAGGTGAAGAAGCTTCTTGAATGAGAAGTGAAACGTCTTCCAAGGGAATACAAAAACAAGACAGTCCAGATGCCTCTTGAAAAAAAAAGCACCTTTGGCACATTCCACAAGAGTGTTTAGAAGTGTTCTTTGTGATTTACGATCACGATGGTTGACTCATCCTTCCACCCTTCTGAAGCAGGTAAAATGAGGACCCAGATTGTTGGGGGCAATCTGCTGACTTTGTAAACCACTTAGAGGGCTGTAAAGCATTTTGAAGTGGTATATAAGTCTGAGTACTATTGCTGTTGCTATTAATTGCTATTTGATGGTATCTCACTGCTAAACGCTGAACTGCTATTAATCAAACCTTCACAAATACGAAATTGGAAATTGGCAAGAACCATCACAAACCAAAAAGTAGTGGAATCTCTAGCTTCAAAATTACAACAATAATGACCTCTAAAATTAGCATTTTTAACGATGCTTTATTTTTACACGCTTGAATGCTGTTTTCTGAGATATGTGTGATTACAATGCTGTATCTAATTTAATTGAGGGATAGTATAAGGAAGCGGATTCTTAATTAAGACTTCTGATTTTTTTTAAAATTTTAACCAGATAATTTTACTACTGAAAGTGTGAATGATATCGCCAAAGAAACCTGCTTAAACTGGTTTTTCAAGATTGCGTCCATCCGAGAACTCATCCCAAGATTGTATCCTTATTGGAATAAGACTTTGATGAAAGAAATATTACCTGATTTATACTTGCAAACTATGTCATTTTTAAAATGTTTTAACTTACCTGCATCCCTAATTGCTGATAACAAGTAAACTTGTATATCAATCCTGGCAATATATTACCTACTTCTTTTGTTAGGTGTAACTTTATTCTGAATTTTTTTTCCCTGACTCTGTGCCAGTTATGTGGAGACATCGATATTGAAGTGCAACAAATTTCTTTCCAAAACGTAAGGCTTGATAGCATTTGATAATTCAATATAGATAATCCTCCAGTTATGGCTATAATTGAGCTCGAAATTAGAGTTATAAGTCATGGCGATCATTAAGCAGATTTCATGCTTGATTTTATGACCTTTTTTATGGTGGTCATTAAGCAAAGCTCTTATACACAATGGTTTATTTTTAATGTAAGCTGGAAGTAAACACGTTTTCAGGGAAAAAAACTGCATTAAAAAGTGCCAAGAGCTCAAAATGCAATGTTATGACTGGGTGTGTGTGGGGGGGGGAGGGGGAGTGTCTTTCAAAATTTCAAAATGAGGTCGTAACTAGCTCTAGGGAGGTCCATCCTAACTTCAAATATGACCAGTCGTAAGTCAAGGAACTACTTGTAAACCTAGGTAAATGGGGTGCTTGTGGCATTGAAACACGGGGATTCTGGCCTGAGGCTTCTCCATCATCTCTTTACGATTTCACTTTATGCTTTATGGTCTGTTTTATGTGGGACACTAAATATAGGAAAAGACATATGTCTGGGATGCAAAGAGCTTTTTTTATTGATTGGTCCCTGAAATTTAGCACACCGATCAGTGAAGGCTCCTTGGGTCATAAATAGCAGACTTTAGGCTTTAGAGCTTGAACTGTGGGATGAACACTCTTAATAGAAAAATAAGTTTTGGTGTATAATTTCTATAGAATGCTCTTTGGTTTGCTGTTGCACAGCTATAGACTGGTTAACTGTGAAGCAGTGACTTTGAGAGTTTAAGGGCCACAAAAGCTTTGCAGTGTCTCTCAGCAAATGTCTGAATAATTTTGCAGCAGTGTACGTGTCAACTCATAAAATATTTCTCTGGTTTTTTTAAGAGTTGCCAACAGAAAGGGAGGGGGGAGCAGTGCAGCAGCTTGCAAAACCGAAACTGCATTCCATAAGTGTTTTCAAACATAGTAACTAGGTGACTGAAGTTTTTCCCATGCAAAATTGTAACTGGAGAACATGATTGATGACTCTTGGCTAGGGGGGTGTCCCATTGGAGAATATGAATTATGAAACACCCAGGGGGTGGAGGAAAACCAGGGTCAAGGGTGACAATGAATGACGTGCCTCAGAGTCAGCTACACCCAGGTAGTGCCAGCATGTTAACTCCCAATAAATCTTTTTGAAGTTTTGGAAGTTTGGCTCTAGACTCATGATTTAAATGGGGTTAAGTGGCAGAATCCTGACAGTAGGCTTGTTTCCTGTAGTAAAAACTCTGCTAGTGTTAAAAGCTTAAAGGCCTTGTGAAATATTAGCAGGGTGGTGGGCTTTATGAACGTTGGGCTATCCTCTTCTATCGACTGAGCAGGATTCCCATGGAGCTGTCCTTTTGTTCACACTGCATGGGGCAGAGTCTCTCCGCCTCCTCCTTCGGGAGGAACGCAGGATATTCTGTTAGATGCTAGGATTTATTGTGTTTGCTGCAATGGCTTTGGGATAACTAAGTTGCTTGACTATATTTTGAAGTCTCAGGTTAGTGGGTAATTATAGGCTGGTAGCAGCCAGGCCTTTGAGATTGTCAGAAGTGATATTGGTAGAAGAGAATATCTGTAGCTCAGAGTTGAAATGTGGGGTCCTTCATTCTCTCTGAGATTGGTTGGGTTTTTTTTGTAGACGTTTCATTACCCAACCAGGGAACTTCGTCAGTACTAAAAGGTGTTATGATGTTAGAATAGAACTGATGATGTTACTTAGTTAAGTAACGAAACATCTGCGAGAAACAGCCAAGCTCAGAGAGCACCAAGGACCCCGTGGTCAGAAGTGAGCCTGATTTTCAGGGATGAATCTCAAATTATCGGTTTTTTAGGGGAATTTCGGAATGCCTCCCCCGATTGACTTCCATGATCCGAGGAATTGGTGATCCTTTGGTGGCTGTCTACGCTAGAGCATATCTCTGCAGGGTAAGATTTTTTTTTTAAACTAATTTTTTTCCTTACCAATCTTGGTTAAAAGCCGTGGTGGCGCAGTGGTTAGAATGCAGTGCTGCAGGCTATTTCTGCTGATTGCTGGCTGCCTGCAATGTGGCAGTTTGACTCTCACCAGGCTCCAGGTTGACTCAGCCTTCCATCCTTCCGATATCGGTAAAATGAGGGCCCAGATTGTTGGGGGCAAGAGGCTGACTCTATAAACCGCTTAAAGAGGGCTGGAAAGCACTGTGAAATGATATATAAGTCTAAGTGATATTGCTATTTATGGAACAATAGAAAAGGAATTATTGAATTATACTGAAATAATTATTGATTGAATTGAGTCCATGAACCATCATTTTAATTTTTTCTTCTTTTAGCCAAAAAAAAGAAAAAAAAAGTCCACAACGGAGTGTCCAACCTTGGCAACTTTCAGACCTGTGGACTTCAACTCCCAGAATTCACCAGTCAGGTATGCTGAGGGAGTTGAAGTCCACAAGTCTTAAAGTTGTCAAGGTTGAACACTTACTTTAAAGGTTTCTAGTCTTTTTTAAATGCTCATTCTGACTGTTTTATGATCCATTCCTCCATTATTTGAATACTTTTCCATCTTTGTGCATATAGTAATCTTCCTGCCTTTATCCTATCAAAATAAATCTTCCTTGATACGCTGACCCCTTTTTATTCAAGCCTTTTAAGGAATATAAAATGCACAGAACCGTTATTAAGAAAAAGCAGAGAAGAGATTTCATTCATTTGGTTCCTCAAACAGGTTGGGATGGAAGTAGCCCCTCATCTGAAGGACAACCTGAACAAGAACTTTTTCGACTTCCTTCTAACCTTTAAGCAAGTAAGTAAATGGCCTGTCCTTATCACAGCAGAATCCGCACTTGGATCCTTTCCTCGATGAGGTTCTTTCCTGCTCCCTAGATCAGACGGAAAAGAGTTGTAGCTGTTGACAGGATAGAGAACCTTGGAAGTAGAAAAGCTAGCCTATCTGTTCTAAATCATTGAATGCTCATCCATATGGTAGTTCTTGGTTTGTAGGTAGTCCTCGACTTATAGCCATTCATTTAGTGACCGTTTGAAGAGCGCGGTAAAAATAATTTATGACCAGATCTTGCACCTAGGATCTTTGCAGCATCCCCACAATCATAGGACCAAAATTCAGGCACTTGTATATATTTATGACAGTTGCAGTATCCTGGTTGCCATTTGTGATCTTCCCTAGCTGGATTTGCTTAATGACTGCATGGTTCACTTGGCAAAAAAAAAGAGGTCATCAAATCAGACACGACCCTTTTAACAGCTGCCTTGCTTAGCAGCGATCCCGGTTATGGTTGCAAGTCAAAAATGACCTGTACTTTCCATCTGGTGCCGACTTAAAGAGTCTTTGTCAAGGTGTCTACCAATTGGACGTGTAAATTCCAATCCACAACAATATGTGGTTTGTTCAAATTTGTCTGTGGAGAACCGAAGTTAGAACTGTGGAAGCTTCTTGGATGAGAAGCAAAACATTTTCCAAGATTAAAAAAAAACCAATGAAAATCCAGTTGCCTTTTGAGGAAAAAAGCACTTTTGGGCTTGTTCAAATTGCTTTCCACCCTGGAGCTCTGCCTGGAAGCAGGACAGGTGAGAGAAGCAGATGTCAGTTTTGCTCATCTTCACGTTCATTTTCTTCACCATAAGCGGATTGGCCCCATTGAGAATTCTCCAATTTCTATGACTTTGGATGCTTTTGCCTCCAATCATTTTTCCCCCCCAGAGTTTTCGTTGAGGTCAGCAATGCCATGTTTTGGCTTTACGGTGAATCCTCCCTCTTTTTCCACCACTTGGACTTTTTTGGTGACTATTTGCTTTGGATGTTCTTCACAGGTTCATGGGGATACAGTCCAGAACCAGCTGGTGGCCCAGGGCGTGGAGATCCCGTCGTATCTAACACTTTATTCTCCGGCCATTGATTGGATTCTACAATGCATCGCTTACCGAGCTGCAGAGGTAAAAAAAAAAGTTTTGAAGGTTACTCAAGTTTGGTATAATGGAGAATCTCCATCTGATTGCATCCAAGGTTTTCATTAGACAGGTTGGGAATGAAGAGAGGCACTATCCTATGGTAGAATCTCTCTTGGCCATGGCATACTTTGATCTAGTGGTTAAGACACCAGGCTAGAAACCAGGAGACTGTGAGTTCTAGTCCCGCCTTTGTTGTTCCAAAAGTTCAGTGGCCTCTTGAAAAAGCACTTTTTGGACAAGCATGACGTGAATGACTGTGAATCTCCATATGACACAGTCCCACCTTAGGCACGGAAACCAGCTGGGTGACTTTCAGCCAATCACTAGGAGACTGTGACTTCTAGTCCTTCCTTAGGCA